TTTTTTGAGGTTTCGCTTTTACTAAAATTGATGTCGCTGTTGATGTCGATGATAGAGAACTCCGTACGCAAGCTCTTTCACGTCGTTGGAAATTTGGTGAGGTGGCGGAGGACAGAGTGTTGAACTCCTCTCTAAGAGAAGCAAATGTTCATAATTTATATTTAAGAACTGATTATTTATATCGGCGCGCAATTCAGTTATGTTTTTTTTTACTTACCTGATAATTCAGAGATAGCTACAGTCAGTTCACATTCAGGCTTCTGCTTCCTTTTTCTATGGGTGACATTAACACCAGATTCATCCTTCGCAAGATCCGGATATGAATGAGCTCTATTATCGGAGAACAAGACATTATGCACAAAAATGAATAAAGACTTCACCGAAAAATAATTTCACTGAGAAAGGTAGCGGTGAGCTATTTCGCAGTCCGTATAACATGCACAAGTGGCCGAGCGCGAAACAGCGCCGCGTACCGTCGCCGCGAAACAACGCAACCTCGGGTTCAAACCCCACCGAGCACAATCACTTTTGGAGATTTAATAACGATGCTCTTTCGTCACCGAACAAAAGGGACAGCGCGCTACCAAAGACCAAGATGGCGCAGGCAACTTATGGGGCACACCACAGGATAATACGAGAGGCACCGATAACACAATTCACGAGCACTGCAAAAAGTCAGAAACCGCTAACATAAACACGAGTTTGCAAAAACAACAGCACGTCCGCTCACAAGTAGGAATAACGATAGAATGACGATCACATTTTTGAGTATTAGTATAGATTCACTTTCACATTTATGATATTAGTATGAATTAATATGGATATTATTAATATGAACGGTTTCTTTATTAGTAGCTTTTTAGCGCATTTTTGTCAATCACCTTTTCTCTGATAAAAAAGTAGCGTTTCTATTCAGTTCTATCCAGGAGGGCGTTTAGGCTTGGCATGACTGAGTAATAAACATCCACACACATGTATATATATGTATATAGTATATCCTCATAATCTATATCCCGTTATAGATTTTGCTCGAAAAGTCAGTATAGAAAATGCCAGTAGTTTCTGAGAAATATGACTGTGATAAACGAACGAGGCGCACGAACCTATAAGGTAACCATTTTCTCTTTCAGTTTTAGGAAACCTTAAAAATGTTTGATAGTATTGTGCAAAAAAGTGCGATTTTAAAATCATTCCAATTTTAATATTCTGAGATGTAACTGCCCTTATATTTTCAAATACAGTTCCTAAATGAAATACAATTCCCTTTCGATTAGGTGGTCGTATTCGATAACGTTTTTCCGATTTGAAATTCTATTTGTCGAGATATAGAACGCAAACTTAATATCGATGTGTCCAATATACAGTTTGATACTTTGATCCACGCCATCCTCTTTTAATTGAATACGAATGTTTTTATTGGAAAAATTAATATACGATAAGGGGTTGTATTCGAAATGCTTATTTAATATTCATTGTTTTAAAAATTAAATACTTTTGTTTCAATATAATTTACTAATACAGCGTGCCAATACCAATAAACTCAAATGTTACCCAAAAATTTGAGTTTGTAAATAATTAATAAAAAGGCTTAATTTTTAATAGGAATAGTTAAAACTGTATTTGAGATAAACCAAAAATACATACTTATTAATGTATATCTTAATTTATTTTCTTTTTAAAGTTATTAGATATTATGATACACCATTAGCACGCCAAACAGGCACTGGATTGGAAACCCACAAGGAAAACGAAAGCGTGGGCCGCCCAAAGCAAACTTGGCGGAGTACTGTCGCAGATGAGGTGAAGAGAATCGGCAAGTCGTGTGAGGTCAGGCGCGAAGCTCGGGACCGAACGCGATGGAGGACTACTGTAGACGCCCTCTGCCCCATCTCGGGGACTTAGGATATTAAGTAAAGTAAGTATGTATATACGAGTACCATTGACTTGTCCTATATTTCAAGAAGAACCTGTAGAATTAATTTAGTGTTAGTAACACTAGTGTTGGACAACATTTCAAACCAGAGTGCTACGTATCTATAGTTTAGTTTTATTTTATTAAAATTGAAAAATAAATAACAGGCTCAAACTATCAAGCGATTTTCCTTTTATTTATTTTTTATGGCATAGGGGGCAAACGAGAAGACGTGTCAACCTGAAACTAGAGTCATAAGTCCTCTGCCGAGTACTCGACATCTGCCGGTCGCATCACCAGCTGATCGGTGCTAATCGGCTTTCTTCATGAGCGACCCCGCCGCCGTAAACGCTGCCCCGGTCTCGGTTAAAACAAACAGTCAGACACAGACACGATACCAAATCATTATCTTTGTTAATCGTATACATGAAACATTGTAATTAACCATAAGTCATTCTAAAGCTTTAAATACAGTCCATTAGTATTCATTTCTACAACCACCATACTTGTAGTATAAGACGATGTTTACTTCTAAAATTTTATAGTTATAGGTCAACGGGAAGTACCCTATAAATTTAGATTCCCTTGAGAGTGCGAAAAATGCGTTTATTGCGCCATAAACGCTCGTATCTTGTTTTAACTTAGAAGTTTGATTTTGTCATAGCTTCAAGGGACTTTGATTTTAACTCGTTGCCTAAAGTCATTCCTGAGGTAAAGGGTCTTGAGAGACAGACAGTCGGAAAACGCAGTGATCCTTTAAGGGTTTAGTTTTTTTCCTTTTCAGGTACGGAACCTTAAAAAGGAACTGGGTTTTGTAGAATGTTTATATGTATAATTTAAAAAAATACATTATCTACAAGAAATTAAATGTCAAAATCAGAATTTGGAATGATTGACAAAGTATTCTAAGGGGCTCGTTTCTATCGCTCACTACAGAGATTGAATGTTTGATCACTTAGAACTGTGGAATCCTGTAAATTTAGAATAGGTAAGTTTTGCTTTTAACCTTTGATTCGTGATTGACTTATTAATAAGATTCTTGACTACCGAGGGAACAATAAGGCTGTTAAAATTAGTATGATTTGTAAGCGGGTACAAATAGTGTCAGTATATTGTTTTCTCCTTTTTATATCTTATCGTGATAGCCTGAAAACTCACTGTCCGTGTACATCCTATCATTATCATCAAAAACTACGCATGACAACGTACTGAAAAGAGAAGGAAAACTTGAAACAAACCCTATACCAACCTGCTTGGCCAGCGTGGTACATTTGACCAAAATCTTATTTCTAAGAGACGCTTATGTTCAGCATTGGACTACTAACAAATACACACATACCTACACACACACACACACACACAGACACACAATTGCTCTAATCGCAATAAAACTGCAAAACCGTAGCGACTTTCAGAATTGCGCGCATGTTGACCTCCATATAACTGGCGGCAGTCGAAGTATGATGAATAAGGAAGTTCATTTTCGCTTTATATATTATTATGTAAAAACAAGTTATGACATTAATGAAAAAATATACGATAATATGTTCTATCAAATCACTTATAAAATTTTGTAAGTGAAAATAATCCGAGAGTCGTTAATTGTTTCTGACGTTAACAGTAAACTTTATGTAATACGGATAACTTGCTCGCGAATGTATTTGCCAAAACCATTTAGTATGTGTGTAAAGAAACAATTGAAATATGATTACCCACTAAATGCATTAGATTGTTTGTAGACTATCAAAAGGTTTTCCCATTGATAATTTGGTAATTGTTTGTAAAATATGAACATTATAAACAGTTATATCAATCCATTTAATTACCAAATAACTTGATTGCATATTGTATGTTGTATTGTGTTAGTACGCAATTGCTATTATATTAATTAACATTCTATTATACTACACTCAATAATTATCACTATTTGTATAGAACAATTATTCATATGAATACTTTACAAGAACACTGACAAACAGTGAAATTACTTTGATGTTTATGACAGACATTAATAAGTATGTTAAAAATAATGTCAGAGTCAAGTATAGTGATTTGATAGTACCAGAGATTTCCTTCCTAGGGTACACCAGGTTCGGGCACGCCGTCATTGCGGCGGTTAAGACCCGTTATGGAGGATTGGCTCGAGAGGCGTCACGGGACCCTCTCATACCGATTGACGCAGGTGATCACTGGGAAGGGATGTTTCGGAGATCACCTGTGTCTGATCCGCAAGGAGCTAACGCCTGAGTGCCACCACTGCGATGGGCCAGACCGTGGACACGGCTCTCCACACGCTGGCAGAGTGCCCGGCGTGGGTTGAGCAGAGGCGAGACCTCGTGGCGGCCATCGGAGTGGGAGTTCTCTCGCTCGATAGCCTGATTGCGGCTATCGGCGGAGCGAGAGTGCGTGGAACTCTGCCGTCTCCTTCTGCGAGCAAGTTATGCTCGCGAAGGAGACGGCGGAGCGGGACCGGGAGAGGTTTAGAACTCTCCCGGCCCGCCAGGCCCGGGCACGGGCCAGGCAGCGCAGGCGACTCAGGCGCCGGAGGTCGCAGAACGACCTCCGTCCTCCATAAGCGCAGGCCTGGGGGTGACAGGTGAGGCCATCTGTCACCCTAGCAGAAGCAGGCCGGGGTGGCGGCGTGCGCGTTGCGAAGCGCGCTCGCTTCCAGGGAGCACAGGGAACATGGGGTTCCCACACGGGGCGGGGGGTCGTCTACTCGTCTGTAGATGACCCGAGGTATGTCGGGGCACCAGGGCCTTCCTTTCTAGGGTATACCTGGTTCCCCGGCTATTAGTACCCGGCGAAGGCGTGCGGTTTTAGTCGGTTCGTGTCCGACATGCCACCGACAGGTGGTATCCGAGGGGATTTCCGCACGAAAAAAAAAAAAAAAGAAAAAAAAAAAAAAAAAAAAAAAAAAAAAAAAAAGGGTACACCAGGTTCCCGGCCACTAGTATCCGAGGACGGCGTTCGGTTTTTAGTAGGCTCGAGTCCGATATAACCACCCCACCTATCGGACTCGGTACCACCCACCGGTGGTATCCGAGGATCTGTGGATTGCCACACAAAGAAAAAGAGGTTCAAATATGGTGCCCAAATCAACACAGGTTGCTTCCCTCGCTAATAACTTACTGTCGGTCTCAGAAACTTATTCTTGTGCGTTACTAGCACCGAATTTTTATCATACAAGTAAAAAAAGTCTAAAATATAAAGATATTCAAATTAAACAATCCAAAACACACGCTGAAAAAGAACTTAAAGCGAATGTGAGATGCACTGTTAATATAGAATATCTGATTTATCCTATGCTATATGTGAACCAATTTTTATTTAAATCGGTTAAAGGTTTTACTGTTAAGGTGTAAGAGCATACTTGTAATACCAACCACCAGTTTAAAATGAATCCAGTCCATTCAAAATTTGCCTGGGAAAATCTTTTCTAAGCGATAAGGCCGCCTTTGTACATTATTTTTGCTGTGCGTTTAATTGATACTTGTATTGTAAATGTGAAAGTAAGTTTTTTTTTGTTTGTAACGCTTTCACGTCTATACCACTTAACCGATTTGTAAAATTCTTTCAGCACTGAAAGCTTCATTATTTGCGAGTAACATAGGCTACTTTTTACTGCGATAACCGACATACACGCAGGCGGAGCCACGGGTAAAAGCTAGTACCTTATAATACCTGTAAAACCCCTGCGTACACAAAAATTATTTAATCTACCTATCCATCGATGTATTTCAAACTAAACAGAATCATTAAAATGTATTTTCATACAGATA